ATGAATCCGAGAAGAAAATTCTTACGGTGTTCTTTTGTAAATTGCGTATTAAAATAATAGTGACTGTATTATTGATAATATTATAAATGTTTATAGTTTCATAAATTAGTTTTCTTTACAGAATAGGATATATCTTTATTTATAGACTAGGAATGTTGGCATTATTGCCTATTATGTCAGTTTTGGAACCTATTTTGTCAGACGCTCATTTTTGCATAACTTACGAAAAACTTAATTGCAAAATTGCAAGCAGTATTATAAAAATTGCTTATACTATGTGATAGAAGACACTTTTTACTTTGTATTTATGTTTTTGAAGTTGTATTTTTACCTTTTGTTTAAGAAATATTGTTTAAAAACAAAGTGGTATGTCGATATCGGTGACCTTCTTCTATTAATTAATATTTACTTCAATAAATATTTACTAAATACTTATTAAAAAAATGATAATTGCATCAAATTGATGGTTCTTATACCAAAAATAAATATATGTTTATATTTAGTAAATATTTAACTTTAACATTTAGTGTTATTCAAACAAATATTTATTAAAATTTAGTATGTTTACAAGGATTCTCTTTCTAATTTCTGCTTTTGATTTTTTCAGAAAGAATAATACAAAATCTCAGGCGAACTTTCTCAGGAGACATCACGAGTCTATTCCATGAAACAAACATTCCTATTCCTGAAGGCGCGAACACAACATCCACAACCAAGGTAAATACTCAACAGATCCAATTTACAAATCAGTAATTCACAAAAGTCTATAATCGATCAATAGAATTATTATCACAGTTCTTTTTAAAATCCTGTTCGATTCGTGTATTCTCGCGTCAGACCGAATTTTGGTCCGGAAACCGTTCGTCAAGTAACGAATCAACCGTTCGCCAAGAGCCGGCAAGAGCAGAGTAAAATAATCCCCGACGACACGCAGAGAGGAAACTCCGCGTCGCGCCAGTCCGGGCCGGACGCGTCGCGGGGAGATAATGCATCGCTAGCAATTTACGTACACGTGTAAACTGCAACGAGATGACGACAGTGGAACATAGAAGGACGGGAGGAAGAGAGGATCCCCTTAACAATAGCGCGGTAGCGCCAAGTGTACGGCAACGGGGGAGGGTGATCGGATTACCGCATTTCCCGTCGCGTATTGTTACACGCTCAGAATCTGCGCGCCGCCAGATCTCTCCGATATGTAAGTCGCTTAACGCGTAATGCGACTTGCTGCACAAAGCACGACTAACGGAAGTGGATAACTGCCCGCCGAAAAGTTCGTCCGCTGCTTGATCGTGAATCCTACTTCTCGGACACTGGCGCTGCGTCATCATTCGTAGGAGAAAAAAGAGAACAGAAGACAAAAGAGTCTTTTCTGAGATAAGGGAGATGACGTGGTAAAATCACCTAAAAAAATGTATTAATTGTATCTTAATCCTAGGACCCAGTTTCACAACTCACAGTTAACTCTTAACCGAGGTTACTTATTCCTCATCTCTTTCTAATGCTAGAATTGGAAAGAGATAATGAATCCAGAGACACGGTAGTGGCTCGGTATTAAGGATGCCGCACACAAAATTCCATAACAGTATACGTAAGTTGTAAACTTAAGCCGATGAGCCAATCAGGATACTGCTTTAGATTGCATAATCTAACGGAAATGGAAATAACAGTAAACTTATCCATAACCTCGTAATAAAGTGAATTTCAATAAAGTGAATTTCCGGTTGAAACTCGCTTTATGGATAAGTTTACTGCTATTTTTTTTCCGTTAGAGTACGTAGATCTAAAGCAGTATCCTGATTGGCTCATCGGCTTAAATTCATGTCTTAAGGTTACTGTTATAGAAATTTTGTCTGCGATAGCCCTAAGAAAATGCGTAGCGTTTTAAGTTGAACCTCGGTTAAGAGTTAACCATGAGTTGTGAAACTGAGCCTATAACATACACATAGGTCTCCCAGACCCAATCGAAATGTCGCTTGCTCCATATACAAAGAAAATGAAGAATTTTTATTTATAACTCAACAATATAAAACTTTTTGGCATACAAAAGTTTACAACCTATGCAAATATATTTCTAAATCTCAAAGCTTTAAAATGAAAAAAAGAGAGTCTAAAAATATCAATCTGAAGTGAAGTTACAGCCTATCAAAGTTACAGTGGGTTTTTCAGATACATGGTGTGTGTTTCCAGAAGTTTTCGAAAGATTTGTGTTCTAGAGTTAAATTGGGTTTTACTCAAATTTGTTGAAAGTCATATAGGATCAGTTTTAAAGAAAATTGTTAAAACAATTATTAAATGTACTAAATTTTTATTTACCGATATAAGAAAATGAATAAGTATTTTTGATCTGCATATCGAGTTAAGACGATCAGAAACGACTTGTTCCGAAACAAAAAATTTCAGAAAATGAAAAAATAGATAATTATATTTAATTTTTTATTACATGAAAGCTTTAAAAAGAGAATCATATTACATTAGTAGCATTAAGTACATTATGCATGCAATTAAGTATGCTAAAATCTTATTACAATGTCATCATTTCTTATATGAATTGTTACTGAAAATTTTTATCAAATAATATATAATATTATTTTAGATAAATTTTATATGAAGTAAAGCATATTAAATGAAAAGTAGACAATATACATTATTCTTTAGAATTCTTGTAATTAAGGTGATAGGTCCGACCTGTGATCTCGTCCTCCTACGAAGCTGAACGAGATCTTTTCTTCTTTTTATAAATTTTTCGCACTACCATATTATTATCTGCAATAATCGAAATATTTATAATCGCGAGTTTATCTCATTAAAAAGTATCGGGATTTGAATCAATCTCATTTATTAATAATACCTCTTACCGTTCAAACGTCGAGGAATTAAAGTTACAAATGCAAAAAAAATGTAAGAACGCATTAAGAGCGATGATATGTGAAATTGAAACGTGATTTAGCATTTTATTATAAAAATGTAGAAATGTTGTAAAGAGAGATTTTTTCCTTATTACGCTTTCACACGTAGAAAGGTATAGAAAGTTTAATTACATATAGCGATTCTAATAATTCATACTGAAGCATGTATCTCTTTGTTAGCAGAGTAAACTGCATTGCATCGCACTGTCATGCACTAAACGCAGTTAAATCCACGCAGCGTTGCAAATTCTTCAATAATGGAGCTTAATTAATTTTGACGATGCGTTTGTCAGTTATAGAACTGCAAATTGTTCGATAAACTCGTTTGCATCCCTGTCTGAACCAGCTCTCGTTCCTTCTGGAACACGTGTGATGTGTACCATATTACGCTATCTTTCCGAAGAACTTCATTATAACGAATCGGATTACATTTGGAGATTGAGAAAAAATTCGCAAATTGTTCAAATTCAAGTTCCAATACTAGGATTTCTTCTTTTAAACTAAATTCACACTCGACTTTATATCTCAATAAGAAATACCGAAGACGCAGTATTTCAGATTACAATATGGTACCACAAAACTAGAAATCAGAGAAACAAGGAATTATCAAGAAAATTGAAAACGGTTAGGGAAATCAAGGAAAAGTCAGGGAAATTTGCAAAATTTTCTGGAAAATTACAATTCTTGAAAAAAGTTTAATACACGTACATTACACCTACGCAGTTTTGGAATATTGCTAACTTAACAATTAAAAATGCAAGCAGTGTCAGTAAACAATAATTACATAGTAAAAAATAAAATGTTAATTTTAACTTAAAGACATACAGTGAACTTTCGGAGGCATGCAAAAATGTTAAAATTAACACAAAGATGTCACCGAAAATTCACTACTCTTTAAGTTAAAAATTAACATTTTAATTTTTTACAGTGTAATAATAATTTACACTGCTGTGTTAAATTGGTCTCTTAACAAAATATTTAACGATTTTCAAATTACAATGGAAATACAAAAAAATTTTAAATATTATACAAAGTCAGGGAAAATCATGAAATTTGGTCTGGTAATTAAGGAAAAGTTATAATTTTAGGACGAGGTATTTGTAATAATCCTGATGCGGTTAATCTCTGATTCTCACAAATGGTCTGATTGCAGATCATTGACGGCCATGTGGTGACGCTCAACGAGACAACATACTCAAGAGGCAATGAAAACGGTGACATCTCGTTCCGTATTCGTATAATCGACGTGAAGCCACTAAACGAGACTGAAGTGATCGGGGGAGGTAGCACGGAGCAACCGTCAGAGCCGGACCCGGGGAGCCGCGAGACGGTCGAGGAGTTCAACAACGAGATACCGAAAAACACGGAAACGCTGACCGCTTAAAAAGTGGTCAGTCTGCTCGCGAGACACGCCGACAATCAGCGATGTCCGAGTGGATTTTATGGAGAGGAAGGAGTGACCTTTATTTCATGGCTGTAGTAGAGTAACTTTGATGCCACACCGCGGTGTGTATCATATTAAAATATAAAGCATTACTGTAATATAATATATATATATATATA